GCCTAATTCCTCGGGGGGGATTCTGCACTTCAGCCGGTTTGTTCTGTAGCATGGTGATCTCGTCAATAAAACGATGGATAAACACATGGGCAGAATGCGGAATCTGGGACACGCCTTCATGAATGAATTTTCTGCAAGAAGACCAGATCGCCCATAGTGTTACGGAGAGCCGAACAAACTCTGAGTGAGACAGTGACTCCATCATTCCGAACAGCCAATGCTTCGTCCTCGGCTCCGTGACAGTGATCATTCTGCTCACCAGATCACTGTTATCAAGAGCCCAAACACATCTCGCCATCGAGCACTCCAGTAGCGAGTGTCTCCAAGAATCATTCCGCATGAGCTCGTATTAGACATGTGCCGATGCGCACGTACATCTTCTGTAGGGAGTGACTGCTTCGACAAACGCCATAAAAACATCCTCACCTTGGCTGGGACTTGAATCTTCCAAAGTGTCTTCCATGATTTCTCTTCCATGTTCGAACTAGACGTTGCGGGAGTGCCATCCAGCCATGCTTCTCTCCGTTGTCGTGTCGCCACCAACATTCTGTAAGCCGAGCGTACAGAGAATATGCCATTTCTTTCAAAATTCCATGCCCAATAGTCATCAAAATTCCTTGTACCGATGGGTATAGTCAGGATCACCGCAGCATCCATAGGCAGAAAAGTTTGCTGGACTCATTGCTTATCCCAAGTCGCAGAAGTTTGATCGATATATTGAGATGCTAGCCTCATGGGGTTCTGTACCCTGCAGCCATAGGGGCGCAACATCTCATTCCTTGGAATCCAGTTCTCCGTCCACACATCTGTAGATTCACCATTGCCGATCCTCTTGATGAGCCCTAGTTTCAAAACCTCCACCCCCTCCATTATAGATCTCCAAATCTGACTAGGATGAGAGCCGACTTGAGCATGTAGGATGGATGAGTTAGGGAAATAAACCCCCTTCAAGATTTGAGCACTCAAAGAGTCAGGCTGTTGGAGAATTCGCCAACCCTGCTTTGCAAGCATTGCTAGGTTGAATAATTCAAAATCTTTGAACCCCAACCCCCCAGAAGATTTGGGTTGCGTCATGTCCTTCCATGAAACCCAATGAGGCTTCCTACGGCCATCTTTAGAGCCCCACCAAAACTTCCTTATCAACATATTCAAGTGTTCGCAGAGTCTCCTTGGAAGTTTGAAACATGACATTGAAAAAACTGACACCGCTTGAGCGACAGATTTGACAAGTACCTCTTTCCCTGCGGTGGACAAGGACTTCTCAATCCAGCCCTGGATTTTACTCCATAGACGGTCTTTGAGAAACTTAAAGGCACCATTTCTTGAAGAGCCAACGTCGGATGGCATCCCCAAGTATTTTGCATTCAGTGTTTCATTAGGCACATGAAGCAACTCTTTGATATCTGCTCAAATATTTTCCGGAACCCCTTTACTGAAAAAGATGGAGGATTTGCTGTAATTAACCCTCTGCCCCGTTGCTGCACAGTAATGTTTCAACAATTGGTTGATCTCTTCTGCACCCGTAGCATTAGCCTTGAAGAACAGCAGGCTGTCATCTGCGAATAATAAGTGATTCACCGAGAGTTCAGATCACTGCTGCTATAGCTTAAAACGGTGTGCTCAGCAATGTACCTTTCTTCCCTCAGAAAAGCCCAGACACCGGCCCACGCGTGAATTACAAGGCATTTTAGACCGGAAGAACAAAATGGGAGCGTAAAATTACCACATGAGATCTCAAGAGACGACCATGCAAATAGCATTGAAACCAGCCGTCACTACATCAGCACCAGGTTGAGGTTGGATGCACAATCAGGACAGAAGCAAACGTACAAAATCAAGCCAACCAAAACAGACGACGAGCACGAGCCAACAGACCACGATCACACGGGACAACATGCAAACAGTATATCACTGCCGACAACCTCACCCTGCAAGTATGTCACGGGCTCAGAATCTTGAATTCGACAAGAATAATCAAGAGTACTCATTACATCTAACGGATAGCTCGAACATTATCAGTAACATTCTATGATCGAGAGCACTAGGCACAAACTAAGTAGCCTTCTTCTGAAGGCTACCATCTAAGGACTAAGGGACCAATATCACTCCATCTTCACCGCTACAGAACCCTGAGCTTCTGCAGGAGGCGGCGGAGAATACTGAAGCCAGTCTTTGGAGCAGAAAAGTGCCTCCACGATTTCAGGGCGCAGCGAGCTTCTGTAGTCATCGAGCATCCGGCTTCCTGTTGTTGCCGCGGCAAATATGGAGCAGCCGCTGCTCACCATGGACATGGGGATGGCCAAGATATCACGGGCCATCTTCGCCAGTGTTGGAAACTTCAGGGTGTTGAGCTTCCACCAGTCCACGATTTCAAAGTCTTGGATGCGGGGCGTCAGGGCTTCTTCCAGGTACTGCTCCAGCTCGGACTTGGAGGGCTGACTTATTGCTATCTCTGAAAGATACATGTCAAAGTCAAGAAGTCCATCCCCAGTAGAAGGTGGAGTTACTGTGTTGTTATTCGCATGGGCAGGCCCATTCTTATTAACTTCCCCTGGTGCGCCATAGGCTGGCGTCAGGGGCAGGGGCTGTGCAACATAATCCTTGTAAAGGTCATGAAGAGCATCATCCACCACCTTAACGTACTTTGCTGCCTCCACACCATAGATTTTAGAATAACTGAATTCAACAAGTTTCATCTTGAAACGAGGGTCCATGACAACACCAATGGCTAGAACAAGGTTGCAATCCTTCCAGTACTTGTCAAACCTCTCATGCATTTCTTTGGCGATGCTACTGAAAACTGGATCTTCATGGGTTATGGCATTTGACAGTTCCAGCTGAAGTTTCCACGCCTCATGGAAAAATAAGTTAGAAGTTGGATTTGCCGCAGCCATGATGCTATGTGCAGAATCATACAGAAATTTCAAATAATTGCAGGCAGCTTCCAACTTCTTCCAGTCTTCTGCAGAAGGTGACTCGTTGTAGTTACCATCACATGTCTCCAATGTGGTGAATGCCTGCCTATAATCCAAGGCAGCAATCAGCATAAGGTAAGTGGTATTCCACTGTATTGTAACATCAAGGCACAGGGTCTTAGTGCTGGGAATCTCCAGCTGCAGAGCAATCTCAGCAAACCTCTGCTCACGGGCAGAAGAAGCTTTTATGAACTTTATACTTTCACGGATACTGTAGATCACACCATGGATTGAAGCAATGACATCATGTGCAACTGCATTGAGGATATTGGCATAGCACCTCACAACAAACAGCTGGCCCTTAAGCATCAGGTTGTTCTTATTGGAGAGATGATCTCTCAGATTTGCACTGTAGATATCATGTGATGAGCAATCATTATCCAATGTGACGGTGAATAGCTTGTCCTTCATGTTCCAGTCGGTAAGGCTTGAGCTAATAGCTTCACCAAGTGCATTCTCCGAATGAGGAGAAGACACCATCATGAAGTTAAGCATTCTTCGATGCACTTTCCAATCCGTGTCAATGAACTGCCCAGCTATAGAAACATAGCCAAGAGTCTGACTAGTTGTCCACAATCCTATGGTGAGGCTAATCCTTCCAGGCATAGTGTTCAATGCTTGCATTAGGTTGTTTTTCTCTTTCTGGTAAACACCATACACCTCTGCCTCCATTGTTTCAACATCCGCAACCCTGAAACGAGGCTGCAGGCTATCAGTAAAAGCAGTGAAGGCTGGCTGTTGAACAACATGAAGTGGGTAGTCATGCAAAATGATAAGCTTCGCCAGATGTGAGCTGCTACGGTCTTGATCAAATGTAGTATTTGCAAAGCCAGTATATCTGTAACGCCTCTTAGAAGGACGTTCTACGGTACCCTCACCATCGTTGTCAGTCACTCCTCCAATTGAACTCATTGCCAGCTTCCTCTCTTGGCTTTTTATCATAGGGCAAGAGCCAAGCGTGATGTGCCTCTTGAGATGGCTAGTACCTGCTATCTTTGTGCCAGAACTGTATGCAAAGGTTGCCTTGCATAGGTTGCAGCATGCACGTTGGCATCCCCTCTCCCCAGGAACAGGTTCAATAGTAAAGTGCTCCCATACTAATGACTTCTTTCTCCGGCGTCTTGATATGGTTGGTGGGGTCACCTCAGCACTGACCAATTCGTGACCATGGGCCATCTCATCACCATTGACCATGTCATTCACTTGAACCATCTCATGACCATGGATCATGTCACTAACTTGAATCATCTCATTACCATGGATCATCTCATCATCATGGACCATCCCACTCCCTTCCACCATCTCGTCACCATGAACCATCTCATTCCCTTGAACCATATCATGCTCATGGATCATCTCGCCACTGTGAACCATTTCATTGCCATGGATCATCTCATCATCAACAACCATTTCACTCTCATGCACCATAGCATTTTCATTGCCATTTGGTTCGCCCATCCTATGAAAGATTATCTGATGGAACCCAAAAGCCTGTCAATTTGGAACAATTGATCAAATAAAATCATGTCAGATCTAATGTAGTTAAATCAGAACACTTGGAAAGTTGGAATAAGGCTGAGAAATCTTGCATAATTTCACTTTGATAATGTACATTATCCAGAAGAAATCTAAAAATCACTACTGCAAATTTTTATGTTTGAGATTTCAAGTAGAGCAGATTTTCTGGAAGATGGCAAGTTTGCCAATGCAAGGAACTGTGATCTCTTGAAAAGTAAAATGTCCAACAGTAAATAATTGAAGTATATTGTCCACATCAGGATAGATGCTCGCAATATTATACATGTATCAAATATAACTTGATGAAAGAAATCAATAGAAGAGTGGAGCTGTAGAAAGCCAGGAAAATCATGGAAGTAGGCCATTCAATTCGCTAAACAATCATAACAGAAAACAAGATTAAAGTTATAGGAAGAAGGCCCTGATTGGGAAATTCAGAGACACCAGCACATACGTTGTAAAAAAGAAACACCACCCTAAGTAGCTTCTTATATACAAACGCGAATACATGTTATTGCTGGGAACAAGCTAAAAAGGCCATAGCCATAGCCAGAACTGTTGAGCAATAAGTAGGTGCAGCACCAAAGGGCTGATATACAGCAACCTAATGGATGGAACCTAGCTAGGCTCGTGTAAACAACCAAAACATCAAAGCATTGGCTATGCAAATGGCAATCAAGAATGTTCTGTTCACAGAACTATCACATCTCCAGGGATAAGTGCCACTGCATTCCGCAGAATTACGGCTTCTAGGGGTCGATAAAATTACAGAATACATTTACAGCTATAAATGTTAACATTAGTGACTGTGGTCACTTCACCTGCTCCTCTACCCTGGTGTGAACAACTGAACATTATCATCTGTTGCAAACGGCTGCGACAGTCGTCATGTTTGCAGCCAAACAAGGCCTAAATTCGGCCACATCTCGCATGACTAAACCAACCCCTATGCAAAATATGACTGAGTAGCAGCTGCTTGGTACGGCAACGAGAATGAATCATCCTCCTAGACAAAAGAACAGAGGCACTACTCATAATTTTGACCGGCGAAACCCCCGCCATTATAGCTCCGCACGAGACAAACTAAAGAAAAACAAAACGACGGCATAGCCCGCATGCGGCCATTTCAGCACCCGCGGCAACCATCTGAATCTAAACCTCCATACGAACACACGCAGCCAATTCTCGAACGAAGCGCATACTGCTCCGCAGCAGATTCATACGGCCGAGCGCACGGCCCGAAAAGCGAACGGAACAAGATCTATACATGCAATCGAATCCAATCCGCGAGGCCGCGAGCGGCGCGGGCATGGATGGATGGGGAGGAGGCCTGCCTGGAGAGGCGCGGAGGAGGAGGAGGCTGTTTAGAGTTTGGGGGGCTTACGGAGGCGGAGGGGGGCCGGCGGGCGGAGATCCAACTCGAGGCGGGCGGTGCGGGATTGGGGCTCGGCCCAAGAAGAACGAAGGCCGAGCAAACCCTAGATCCGCCTTTTTCTTCTGGGGGCGGGCGGGCGGCCACGGGGGAGGAGAGGGACCGAGCACGGACCAGCGGGGCGAGGCGGAAAATTTCGTCGGGTCTGGGGGAAACGGAGAAGCGGGGGATGGACGGGGATTTATGGGCTCGCGGCCCACGGCCATGGGCTGCCGAGCTGGCGCGGGCGTGAGGCTGCCGGCGGGCCATGGGTGGGGGCTCGTCCGCGTGGACCGGCTAGTTTTCGGGACGCGCGGCTCGCTTTCAATATTTTTATCCATGGGATGGGATGGGATCGGGGGGTGGACTGCGGACGCAGGCCAGGCAGGCTACGGCGTCAGCGACTAGGGTTTGGGCTGATGTGGCCGGGTTCCGATTTGGACCGTCCGATTTATGTGGGCGGATAAGCTTAAAGAGCTTGCGTTAGGGTACGGATCCAAGGAAGAAAAATGGCCCGGTTAAGGCCAGAGTCGTTGATCGGGGGTCTGGGGAAGTTGAAAAGTTCACCTTTTTTTGTGCGATCCTTCTAATTTGAAAACAAAATTCAAATCTATTACTCCCTCTAATCCATATTAATTTTAATACAACTTTGCAATAAAGTTATACTAAAGGTGGGGCAAATAGTATGGATCGGAAAAAGTAACAAATTTTACCGAAAGTACAAAGCACATCAAACATAATAAAAACATAGGGTTTACCCGCAAAAAAAAACTTAGGGTTCCTTCGCCTCCCGCCGACGCCGCCGGCGGTCCACCTCGTCCCGGGCGGCCTTAGGGCCATGGGGACGCGGTGTATCCCAGCCCTTGTCGGCGGGAGGGCTCCGTTTTTATGCCACCAGTTGTGTCTCACTACTCAGTTCTGCCACTAGAAATTTCAACTGCTCAAAAATGGCATCGCTTCGTTAGGCGCATGCTCAAAAATGCCACTAGACATCCTTATTGTCATCTCACATCTCGTTTGCCATGTTATAATGATCAAAATACCTGTAGACCAACATGTCAGTTCTCCCTCTACCTCAGTACAATAAAATGTGGGTTTCACTTGATCCCAATAGCGTTTTTATTTTCCTCTTTTTTTTTGCTTGCTTACTCCTGACAAGTGGCGTCCACACTTATCATTGTGAGATAAAGAGACCTGAAATCTGGGTATAGGGGTATGTTCATCATATAACATGGTCAACTGGTTTGACCTGACAATAACAATGTCTAATGACATTTTTAAGCAAACATCTAATGGAACGGTGTCATTTTTGAGATATCTAATGATATTTTTAAACAAGCATCTCATGAAACGATGGCATTTTTGAGCAATTATAACTTCTGATGGCAAAACTGAGTAGTCGGATACAATTAGTGGCATAAATGATAAAAACTCTAATTTTAATAGAACTTTTGTAATAAAGTTAGGGAGATGCTACGCGTCGGCCGGTGGATCTTTTCAAAAGATCCATCGCCATGCGAGCCATTAGATGCGAGACAATCTAGCGACCGTGTGCCGTCCTTTACTTTTGCAACAAAAGCCTTGTTGCGGAACCTTTTGTAACATAAATCATGTTGCACAAAAATTTGCAACAAAGGTTGTGTTGCAGAATTTTCTTGCAGCAAAGATCATGTTGCAGAAATATTTGTCAATTTTCTTTGCAGAGAAATCATGTTGCAGAAATATTTGCAATGAAGGTTGTGTTGCAGATTATTTTTGCAGTAGAGATCATGTTGTAGAAATATTTATATATTTTTTTGCAACAAAGGCCTTGTTGCGGAAAAATTATGTAATAGAGATAATGTTGCAGGAACTGTACTGCAGCGGCACCGGTGTTTGCGACTGAGCTCGAGGAGGCGACAACCATGGACGTCGTGCTCCTCTAGAACACCGCGACGTGGAACGATGGGAGACGGCAGACGAGGTTCCAACGACGGTGTGCCTCGCGGAGGCGGGTGACGGCGAGGCGGTGTAGTCCGTGAGAGATGGCGCTGATTAAATTGGTGAGAGAGACATAGTATGGATGAGGAAGAAAATGAGGAGGGACACGGATGGCCAAGCACTTGCTCGCCGGCGCCGGGGCCTCGGCTGGCATGATTCAGTTGGTTGCGGCTGTGCAAGACGCACTAAGGAATGTGTTGCTGGATAAATAAATCAATGGAGGTCATTGCTTGGGAGGATAAGATAAGCATCAACGTGTGTATAACTTGAGGAGGTCTCCATACGTGGCCTGCGTGTGGTCCATGGGACGCGTGGCACGGGTGCAAGGCGGCAGACTTGTTGTTGTTTTTGGCCGGCGGATTTACAGCTTTTCCCATAAAGTTATACTAAAGATGGGACAAATAATATGGATTGGAGAAAGTAACAAAGTTTACCGAAAGTACAAAGCACATCAAACATAATAAAAACTTAGGGTTTACCCGCAAAAAAAAACTTAGGGTTTCTTCGCCTACCGCCGACGCCGCCGCCGGTCCACCTCGTCTCCGGTGGCCTTAGGGCCATGGGGACGCGGTGTATCCCGACCCTTGTTGGTGGGAGGGCTCCGTTTTTAGATGTTTCTATAAGTTTTGTTAGGATTTGTATCTTGCTCAGGAAGGCGAGACGACGACGGCTCCCTGAAGATGGAATAAAGGTCTCTCCGCCTAGCCCCGTCTCGGTTGTCTATCTAGCATTGTCGGTGGGCGTGTGGATGTCTGTCTCCGGTGGATCTATCTTTGATGAATTTGATCGGATCTTGTCATTGTTCATCTACGTTCGTGGGTCTTCAGGTTGGTTCCTTCCGGTCTACGCTACTCTTCATCGGCGGTGGTTGTTGTTTTCATGCGATGGTCCTATGAGGCCTTAGCAAGACGACTTTCCGTTTGTCTACTACAAGTTTGGACCGGCTCAAGCAAGGTAGGGGCGATAACGGCGGCACGTCTTCGGCTTGCTTCAGTGCTTGTAGTCGTCGCTAGATGGTCTATGGATCTGGATGTACTTTTTATCATTTTTTGTGTTTATTGTACTGTCATGATTGAAGATGAATAGATTGGAAGGTTCACGCAAAAAACTACATTAAAATTTTGATACCGTCGAATGACTACTACCGCCACCAGAACAAGCCGCTGACGCATCGTTGTCGTCGCTCCCCGACCAGAACCGGCTTGACCTTCTATATGACGGCAAGAAAGTTTTCATGCACGTATCTCTAAGCGCAACACTTTAGAGCCACAATCGTCATCGTTAAACTCTTAAATAGATCTCAAGCGCTTGACACCGAATCTCGTCACACGACGAGAAAATCTAACATGGCCGTTCTAAGGAGACATCATGAATCGGATGCCCTTTGAGATCCAGTTTGGATAGCAAAGATTCTCGTGCCTTTATGCTACTTGCGAGTTACGTTGAGATTTTTCCCGAAAAGGAAGGGTGAAGCAATATAGTAGCGACAAGTATTTCCCTCGGTGAGAACCAAAGTTATCAAACCTGTAGGAGAATCACTCAAAACCTA